CACCCCCCACCACCACAACCACCCCCCACCACCACAACAACACCCCCACCCCGTCCCCCCTCACCAATGTGAGCCAAGAGGTCATCAGTTTAAACCCCACTTGAGAGATTTGGGCACAGAATCTAGGCCTACACTTCAGAGCAAAATGCAAGCTTTTGAAGACACATTAAACAGAGGCTTCATTTTTTTTCCCTTTCAGGTGGATTTAAAAATCCCACTTGGCAAAATTCAAATGACAGAAGACATCCAGTGACATAACCAACATCCATCCCTTATTCCAAACTGTTGTAGGATTTTACTGTGTGCAGATCTGTTGCATGTTTTCCCACTCAACAGTTTACTTCATTTCAAAAGTACTTTATTTTGTCCAAGCCTCTTTGGAAACCAAAAGGCACTATATAAGCGCAAGTCATATTAAGAACATAGAGCATAGAACAGTACAGGCCCTCCGGCCCACAATGTTGTGCCGACCTATTGTCCTACTAAGATCAATCCACCCTGCATACCCTACATATTACCATCCTCCATGTGCCTATCCAAGAGTCACTTTAAAGTCTCTAAAGTATCTGACTGCACTACCACAGCCGACAGTGCATTTCACACGCCCACCACTCTCTGTGTGAAGAATCTGCCTCTGACATCTCCCCTATACCGTCCTCCAATCACCTTAAAACTATGCCCTCTCGTAATGGTCATTTCTGCCCTGGGAAAAAGTCTCTGACTATCCACTCTGTCTATGGCTCTCATCATCTTGTACACTTCTATCAAGTCACCTCTCATCCTTCTTTGCTCCAATGAGAAAAGCCCTAGCTCCCACAACCTTTCCTCACAAGATCTGCCCTCCACTTTAGGCAGGATCCCAGTAAATCTCCTCTGCACCCTCTCTAAAGCTTCCACATCTTTCCTATAATGAGGTGACCAGAACTGAACACAATGTTCCAAGTGTGGTCTAACCAGACTTTATAGAGCTGCAGCATAACCTCAATTCCCCTGCCAATGAAAGCCAACACACCATACACCTTCTTTACAACCCTATCAACTGGAAATTTTTCTTTATAGATCATCAACATCTAGTTCCCCCAGATTATCCTCTTTTCCTCCACTGGTTATTTTTCATGTTTGTCCCTCCGTCCTAAATATTTATTTGTGCACCACATCATTGCAAGCCACTTTTGCCAATTTCATTTGCGAATCAGATTTCAGGGGTAATTGAATGAGAGATGAGCACTGCTCACAGGTGAAGACACCAGGTATATGTGTCAACTGATCACTGCATGGGCTATTAGTTACAGGTATCAATGTTTCATACCCATATCCAACAACAGACATGTCAAACTCCACAAAGGAGGGAGCTGTAGACGATTTGGTTGGATGGAATTGGCGAGAAGACATCATGGAGACTAAGCTCATGACACGGTGCCGTGGTATTGCCTTCTGACTTGACTCGTGGGATAAACTGAAGCTTCGTATCGGTCCGTGCTTGGCGATCAGTGACCCCTTCCGGTTGAGGGTTCCTCTCCTCACCGAGTCTCCCTCTGAAACGGAGGAAGAAGAAAAAGGGCCGAGAGGTCAGAATTGACCGCTGTTTGCCACAGAATGCACGCAACGACTTCACTTCAGTTAACCACTTTCAGTGCATTTCAACAAATGACAATGGACACATGATTTAAGAAGCAGTCAACAAGTTAGTATTACTGATAACAAATGGACCAGCCAAAGAAGTCAAAGCTGCCGTTATGAAACAAAGAACTCCGGATGCTGAAACAAAAAACAGAAATTGCTGCAGAAACTCAGTTGGTCTGTGAGAAACACAGTTAACATTGTGGGCCCATTGACTCTTCTTCAGAACACAGTATTCTGAAGAAGCGTCGCTGGACTCAAAACATTAACTCTGTTTTCTCGCCAGACCTGCTGAGTTTCTCCAGCTATTCCTGTTTTTGTTTCAAAGCTGCTGTGTTTTGCTTAAAGTCAATAGAAGTTCATTTTTATTTTTTCATCCATTTGCATGATGGAGCAATCTACAGTCCGCCTTTCACTTTATGTTTGAAGTGAATAAATGTCAATAATGCTTGACAAAAAGTGAAATGAAATTCTGAAGAACGCAACTGTGACATGCAGGTGGCAAAGAAATCTGGTTAGCTGAACAAGTTTTAAAACTTGATCTATTCTGCTCAGAAGATTTGTGTAGCTCCTAATTTGCTTTCAAACAGATTTTATTTCAGTCTGCAACAGAAGTATAAAATACAATCATGTACCTTATTTGCATAGTGCAAATATGGGCTGATTCAGCTTAAAGTGAAATTACAATCACATAAGCAGAGAAGAAAATACAGAGTGAAAAAACTGAACCTAAGAGCTTCTTAATGCAAACAGAAAGAATGCTGCGGGTCAAGATATATATTTTTATAAGCTACTGCTTTCTGGCACAAAATTCTAATTATACAACATAGATCATTGTTGCTAATTAATAATAATGTCCTTTTGTTAGGTTAGTCCGTTACATTCACCTCCTATTCACACTGCCCCTGCTGGCTATATTTATCCCTCAAACAGCATCCAAAATAAGTGCGCCAACCATTTTCTCATTGTTGCCTGTAGGAACTTGCTGTGGGAAAGCTGGTTGCCAAATTTCTTAGACTACAATAACAACCGCAATTCAAATGTGCTTCATTGGTTTCAAGCACTTTGGTCCTGATGACACAAAGGATAGGATCCTTACATTAAAACAAAACCACTTTTTTTCTTTCGAACAGTGAATTGGGAACTCAACCAATGATTTGCATTATCTGGTCTTTTGAATTAAGCAACTGAATCATGAGGACTGTGATCTCGTAGCATTAAAACTAAAGGTGAACAATGGGTGTCAAAAGGTAAAATAAATGTCTTCATCTTTTTTGTTTTCATAGAAAGCAACTAGACAACCTTTGTTCGTTGTGAAATCCAACTAAATGTTGTTCAATTGCAGATGTAACAATTTTCGCCAGCCTACATGTCAACTATATAAGGCCCAGTCAGACTCTGAGCACAGAAACTAACTTGGGGACGAATGAGCATCTATGCAGAGACCTAGCGCTGTTCTAATGCCCGTTAAGAAGGACACACTATCAGACACAAAGCCTAGATACTTCCAACTCCCATCATTCTTGCTCTTATGCTGCAGCCACCCTCAACACCAAACACATCCTCCAACTCCTAAACACACCCCCAACCCTGCATGTCCCTTACCATTAGAATCAACGTGACACCAGGAGAGATCAGTTTGATGTTTACCAGATGAGTCACACATTCGCTTCTTTCCAACTCTACAGTTCAGGGGATCGCCAAGGCGTAAGAACTGTCTGTGAAATGTAAAGAAAGCAGAGAAACGATGACTGAAACAACACAAAAGGAAGCCATCCAACTGCCCCACCATATCAGTGCCATCTCCTTGGGATCCAATTGAACTCAGATCGGTGTTTTCACCTGTTTCTCCTCAAATATGTATCCAATTGTTGTAAAGTAGAAACTGCAAGCAAATCAATGCATTCATTTTTGGATTATTGAGGCGAAACCTCTTTTGAAGACCGGCTTTATCATCACTTAACAAATGTCAACACAGTCTGCTGAAAGTAAAAATGCCACATTCTTTTGAGGAGATATTGAACAGAGTCTCAAAGTGCTTGACCCAGTTGAGGGTAACTTTAAAGGGCCCATTGGGATCAGAGGATAAGTGGGAAGATCCCCCCAGGCTCCTGGCTAAAACTGCTCCTGTTGCTAAGCCCAGCTAACCAGATTAACTTATCGTTTATCTCATTCCGACTTGTAGGATCCTGCTGTGCTCAAAATGGACAATCCAGTTTCTTGCATTTCTGTTAAACGAATTCATCAAGTATTTTGAGAGACATTGATGAGGTATTATCTAAATGGAAGTTTCTCACTAAGGGAACTTCAAAACTAGAACTAGCAATATTTTTATCAGTCATTGCAAGTCCAATAACTTCCACGATTGAATGTCGGTTTGCTTCGGGCTCATGATTTACATTCAGTTTCTTGAGGTTAAAGAATCACTTGGCTAAAGAATCTGGAGGAGAATTGGACAGAGAGGATGCATATGCATTTTTAGAGCCCATATGACCCTTAATCTCTTATTTTCAGAATCAAATACACAGGAGTAGGCTATTCTCCCTTTGAGACTTTAGGATAAGTCATCAATAACTCGGTTTAAAACGTAGACTTTGAGAAGCATTTTCAAGGAAAAAGAGAGAGGAGCGAGAGTTTCAGGGAGCGAACTTCAGAACTGCTGAGAAGCTAAAGGCACACTACAATATCGAAAATGGCTTTTCTAACTCCTCAGAGCGTCAAAGTATGTGCAACGATTGACAGACAGCAGTACCTCAGTGTTTGTGGCTCAACGGCCTGACAAGCCAACTTCTCAAAAGTCCTGATGAGGGGCAAGTGTAATGGATTGTTATTATCAACCAATGGCTCCTTGTAGCGATTTATTAGGACAGTCAAAAGTCCAGATTCACACATGACCTGACGGTTCCTTTCCGATTTGACGAGAGACAGAACGTAATCAGCCACTGCGTACTGCAGCTCCAGAGACAGCTGAAGGGGAAAGAGGGGAAAATTTTTAAATTGCTCATGTGTAACAGATGCAGGGCACCAAATGCCTACGTCCTATTGTGCTTTACCCTATGCTGAGCTTTTATTGTTAATGGTACATTTAAGTCAATATTCAAACAAAACCAAAATCGAATGCAACGTAAAATATTAACTGTGCAAGTGTATGAAAACTTTTAAAAACATTACATTTACTTCAAAGAGCTGCGAGCTGCACAAGTAGCTTAGAATCATAGAGGTCTACAGCACTGATAAAGACCCTTCAGCCCATTGAGTGTACACTGGAAAAAAGCAAATACCTAACTATTCCAATCCTATTTCGCACTATTTCACCCATACACTTTTATGCCTTGGCATTGCTAGTATATTTAAATATTCTTAAGTAGAGTCATAAAGGACGGAAACAGACCATTTGGCCCAACTTGTCCATGCCAACCAGGTTTCCTAATCTGAACTAGTCCCATATGCCTGCATTTGGCCTACATCCCTCTCACCTTTCCTAGTCATGTACTTATAGAGTCATAGATGTGATAAGTGCTTTTGCCTCTGCCATCCTATGGACATCGAGCTCCAGACTCCCACCACCATCTGGGTGAATGAATCCTGGCATATGAACTAGTGGGGCCGCAAACAGGAAGTTCAGGCATCCATGCTGATCTTACATTTTTTTGGGCATTGGGAAGTCAGATCACTAGCCTAATGCCTCTCCACTCTGAGATATACTGCCATTTTTGCACCTCAAATGGTTTCAAGGTCAACTTCACAGAATGGCCGCTCCTCACGTTCGCTACCCCACTGGCCTACTGTTTTGGCACGTAATCCTCAATCAATGTGAAGAGGCTACTAGTTTGCTTTGTAAGGCAAGCATTTTGTCTCATGATATTTAATTGTGGAAAAGATATGACTACACAGACTAGATGATCTACATTTCTTTAAATGGCCACTACCTGGTGCCACCTAGCACATATTAAATGTTGATGTGATCATCACTTGCAATCTGCTCCACTTTGCAGAGGAACATTGTATCTTAGGAAGCATATCTAAGAAGATTTATAAAAAATACTTTAGTTGTCAGATGGAAGTAAAAGCAAGTTCACTGTTGCGACTGGAAGAGGAAGGGAGATTGACATGACAGGTTAACACCACTTCTTTGACTGGCACTCACTCTCAGTAGAACTGTGTGCTGGGAGCCCAGATTGGGCGAAATGCTCATGTTGTATGAAGGGAACACGTAGCATGTGTTAATAGCTCACAGAACGCAAGTCAAACAAATTATGTGTAAAATGACACACCAGACCCGATGCTAATCAGCAACTAATTATCCTTACATCACTGGTCAACCATTTGTACCCATTATGGGAGTCAGAAGTTGTGAAATATGTCGAGATGCAGAAAATGGTGGTGAATTCTCCTGAACTAAGAGGAAATCTATTATCACCTAGATATTGGGGATCTAAAAGGTGAAACTACATTACAGCTAAAGCGTTATTTTTCCTTTGTTTTAACAAACAAATAATATTTAAACAAAGATTTACCTCACTTGGGAGCTGAGACCCTTGCATTATAAATGAATTTGAACTATATTTAACTGAGTTGTAATGGACTTCTCCTGAATATTGCATTAACACACACTCCATACACCCTTCCACTCCAAATGAATACCAAGAAAATGGCCAGGAGCATACTGCTCAACAGTATTTTACAGTGGCTCAGCCTAGCTAAAACCAGCAGAATATTGGAAAAGAGTGCTTTGTACCTGGCCAGAATGAAACTGATTTGTCACATTCAGCATGATAATTTACGTTTCAAGTTATGGTTTAGATTTGATGTATGGCAACAAATAAGACAATTTCCTGGAGATTTGTTTTAAAAAGATACCTTGAATACATCTCAACAAATGTGGATATTATGCTTATTTGACCGATTTACATCCAAAATAATTACTGCATGCATATTAATTAACTACTTTTTAGTTTAGTTGTTCTAATGCAAATGACAGGCCACCTCTGCCTTTTGCTGCCTTGAACTGCTGCAAAAATACGAAAGGACACTCTTGCAAATTGTGTCAATGGATTCACATTGACTGTATAAGATAATGTCTCATTACCAAATAAAATTGTTACACCTAAACATTGAAAGTTATGACACACTTTATAAAATTAGGCCATGATCGAGGTGGATGATAGAAGTCTACGGCACGACAAGACGAGCAGGCCCTTCAGCCCCTTAAACCCATTCTATCATATCAAGCTGATATGCATTTCAATTCCCAATTCAATGATTTGATTCCTGAGATGGCAGGTTTATCGTATGATTGATTGCTTGATTGATTTATTGTTTTCATTGTATCTCAGTACATGCGACAAGTGCTGTTTTGCATGATCCACAGGCAGATCGTGCCATAAAAAGTGCATCAGGGTAGCAGAACAGAGCGTAGAATACAGTGTTACAGCCGCAGAGAAGGTGCACAGAGAGAGAGAGAGAGAGAGAGATCAGAATTAACATTTGAGAGGTCCATTCAAGGGTCTGATAACAGGGGGGAAGAAGCAGTGCTTGAATCTGTTGGTACATGTTTTCAAACTTTTCTACCTTCTGCCTGATGGAAGAGTGTGGGAGGGGTCTTTGATTATTTTAGTTGCTGTTCTGAGGTAGCAGGAAGTATAGATGGAGTCAATGGATGGGAGGCTGGTTTGCCTGATGGACTGGTCTGTGTTTACGGCTCTCTGTAGTTTCTTGCAGTCTTGGGAACAGCACTTGCTATACCACACCATGATGTATCCTACTCTGCTTGTACTCACTGCAGTTTAGAAGAATGAGAGGGGATCTCATTGAAATGTATAATACACAGACAAGGCTGGGCAGACTGAATACAGAAGTGGTGCACCCCATGGTTAGGGACAGGTCCAATATAAGGGGTCACAGACTCTGGACATGGGGATAGGCAATTTCGGACTGACATGAGAAGGAAGGTCTTCATTCAGGGGACTGTGGCCCTGTGAAATTCTCTACGACAGATGGCTCAAAAGGCTATGCGTTTAAGAATTAGGTTAATATATTTCTAGAGGCTAAAGGTGTCAAGGGATATGAAGAGAGTATGGCACTGAGATAACAGATCAACCATGTTGAATAATGACATGGGTTTAATGGCCTGAATGGCTACACCTGCCCCGTTTACTCTGTTTCTACTCTGCATCCTTGGAACTCTGATTCAATAAAAAACTGACAATCTCCGTTTTCAATTAATCCTGAACAACAGTTTTCTGGTAGAGTACTTTCAGATTTTCACTATTGTTATTTATGGAAAAACATTTCTTGATTTGACTCCTAAATAGCTGAGCACTGATTCCTAATATTTTGGCCTAATCTTCTAGATTCTTTTATTAGCAGAAATAGGGTTTTGTTTTGCATCTAACCTATTGAATCCCATTCTGATTTTGCCCGTCTCAAATCGATTAACCTTCATCCTTCTTTCCAAAAGCTGATACAGGTTCAGATCAGCTAGTCACATCGTTTAACTTTTTAAGCTACAGTATAATTTTGGTGAATATCCTTGATATAGGAAAGATGTTGTGAAACTTGAAAGGGTTCAGAAAAGATTTACAGGGATGTTGCTAGGGTTGAAAGGTTTGGGCTTTCGGGAGAGGCAAAATAGGCTGAAGCTATTTTCCCTGGAGTGTCGGTGGCTGAGGGATGACGCGTATAGAGGTTTATGAAATCATGAGAGGCATGGATAGGGTGAATAGGCAAGGTCTTTTCTCCTAGGTTGGTGGAGTCCAAAACCAGAGGGCACAGGTTTAAGGTGAGAAGGGAAAGATTTTAAAGGGACCTAAGGGGCACAGTGAATGGTACATGTCTGGAATGAGCTGCCAGAGGGAGTGGTAGATGCTGGTAAAATGACAACATTTAAAAATAAATTTGGATGGGTATATGAATGGGAAGGATTTAGAGGGATATGGGCCAAACGGGTATCTGGGTCAGCATGGGCAGGTTGGACCAAAGGGTCTATTTCGGCGTTGCATATTTCTATGACTCTAAATCATTTCTGGAATCTGTTGTGTTTATGTTAATAGGACTGTTGGAGCAAAGAAATGCAGCTCATCTGTCTCACAAGAGTTACAAGTGAAGGAAAACAGTGGTCTGGTCTGAAAAGTTTAAGGCCAGGTTTCATTCTCAGTTCTGTTTATACACATCACAATGAAAGAGTGAGAGATACCTGGGATATTCCTTCACAGTTTGTGTTCGGTAAGAGATCCATCATGACACAAATGGCACCTGGATGGACGAGAGCAGGGTCCAGAGCAAACCTTCACAGGAGTTAAACACAAACTGGTGAGCTGCACATGTCATGAGCTGCACATTTTCAATAAAACAAGACAATGGGTTTCCAGGGAGATCAGGGAATCCAGTACAGAGACGACAAGCAAACCAGGTCTGTCAGCTTCCAGCTCTTGAATCTGACTTGCACTCCTGCTGACTGAGCCCCCATGCCAACAATGAAACATTGAAAATATTTCTCTTTCCAAGTACAAAGGCATAAGCTACATTCCATGTAGAAGTGCAAAACGGGGCCGTTTTGATTGGCCATGCAATGGCAGGAGAATAGCTCAGTTGTGTGGATGGCTGGTTCATAACGCAGACAGACGCCAACGGCGTGGGTTCAATTCCCACAGCAGCTGAGGTTACCATGAAAAGACTCTCCTTCCCAACCTCTCCCCTTGCCTGAAGCATGGTGACCCTCAGACTAAATCAAACCAGTCATCTCTCTTTAATGGGAGGGCAGCTCTGTGGTGTGGTAAGACTGTGGTGATCTTACCTTAACAGAATGAAGGCTCACAAGACTTGCCCAACACACCTGCATCTTTCAATATGGCAATGTATAATCTGTACAGTCAATCTTAATCTGCAATCAGAATTATTATCCATTCTTAGCTGACTGCATCTCCCAGTTAGCACCCTTAAGGTCCCATAGATATTTAATTCTTTGACTGAAATACTCCAGTAAAGAAACTTCTAAAGTCAAATTTACGTGTTCAGTTTCATGCAATAGCAGAAATGTGCAGTTATGCTGCACCTTTCACAGTTTCAGAATTTCCCAAAGCACTTTGCTGACAGTGGAGTACTTTTCAGGATTAATTACGAGTGAACAGAAAAATGCACAGCAGCCAGACTGACTCACAGCCAAAGTCCATTAAAACAGCAGAGTGATGAAACCCAGAAAAACTGGGCCATGGATCCAAACAATTCCAATCATGTCCTCTATTTACATTCTATTTATGTTGTCATTCAAGGCTGAGGTAGATTTTGATCAGTTGGAGAATCAAGGGTTATGAGGAAATGGCAGGAAAGTGGAACTAACAATTGTCAGATCAGCCATGATGTTACTGAAAAACGGGGCAGACTCAATGGGCTGAACGGCCTAGCTCTGCTCCGACATCTTACAGTTTTATTAAAGTGTGTTTAATGTTCACTTGCCCCAGGCTAGACCTAATCTTAATAGGGAATTAGAATTGGTCAGGACACGGGCAAAGGTGGAGAAGGGTATGTGTCAGAAATCAAGTCTGAAGAGGTTCAACAACACAGAACCTTTGTGTACTTAATTACCTAAAGTAGGCTACCCGTTGTTCTGTATCAATATGAAAGTAACCAGTATAGCTGCACGCTTCAGTTTCAACAATTATGACTGACTGTACATTGACTGCATAAACAATTCACAGCCACTTGATCGGCCAGCGAGCCAGTCCAATGCACAATTACCCTGAGGTGCAAAAATTTACAAGTAAACACTCCAGCCTTTGTGCCATCAACCTTTTCTCCAAATTATTCAGACTTCCAGATTCTTAATCTAAGAAGTCTCATATGAGTTCTATTCTTTGGGGGCATAAGATGCAGTTTTCCGACATTGGCCTAAGTGACAGAAAGTTTCCAACAAGTGCCAGTTTGGGAATCTAAAGTCGAGTGATTCTGGGTCTACTCAACCATCCAAACAGCTAATTTCAAATTGCACCAGAATTCGCTTTAGCTGGCCACTCATCGTGAAGAACAAATCTTCAGAGATGAGGCTGGAAAATTCCTCATAAGGATGAACTGGAGTCTTATTAAATTAAGAAATTGAGTTTGTGCTTTGTGTAGCCTTAATATTCCCCAGCAAGTGAGGCTTCATGTAGTTGTGTTATTTCATTTTATAAAGCTAAGAATTTATGACAGAAGAACAGGGGTGTGATTGAAAAATGCTGAAGCATCAATCTCAACTGAGACAGCTCCAGTCTGGGCTACTTAGAACTGCCTTTTGAAAGATCAGAATCATAAACCATGAAATCGGAAAAACTTTCTCATACAGAATGATGAATAATGTGCTGAGCACATGTTGCAGCTACCTGCATTACTATCTCACTTTCAAAGAAGGAGTTTGTAGGAGAGAGGGAGAATGAATGAAGAGGTTACTGATTAAGGATTAAAGCAGGAACATCCAACCAGATCCATAGAGACTTGATGTACAGATCAATAATTCCATTCATCAGAATAACACAGCTTAAACCATGCAGCATTATGGAATTAAATTAATGTACACTAAGAATTAATGTAGATAGCTACATGAACCGACACAGTTCTACACTGAATATTGTAATTTCAGTAGCTCTTGTTTTCAATTAAAGATTTTTAAGTGGTTTAATAATCTTCAATGCCCTACCTGGTTCCAGTGACCTAAACATAGTTCATTGGTCTTCAGTATCCTACCTGTCTTCCAGATCAGTTTTAAGCAGTTGTTCTAAAGGCTCTGCAATGGGGTTGGATGTATCGTGCTGACTCCCAGTGATCTGCGGAGCACAACTTTCATCGGACAATTCATTGCGACTTGTGGCAAGATCTTCTCTGGCTTGCTGTGTAGGACAGGGAGAAGACAAGGTGCCTTTAGCCATCCTGTCCAGAAAATCAAAGAGTTTGATACATTTCCTCAAAGAGGGCCAATTGTCCTCTGTTGGATCATGAGCTAAAGACAGAAACTGCTCAAACTTTCTGCAGGCACCGGTGTCCAGGGGGCATTTTAATGGCCCTCCTTCGCCGCTGAAGCAACCGAAAAGCCGGAGGTCTTCTGTCATTTTGTCGAACTGGCCCTGAGTCCTGAAGAAGTGACTATTGACGGGGTCAGAGTACATTGCAGCAGTAAGAGTACACAGAGTTGTCTGGATGAGGTCCCAGATGTCATTCTGATCCACCGCAGCCCAATTGCCTGAAGGTGGATCACATAACGCGCCTTCCATGTCTGCCAGCACTGACTGCAGTGCATTGAATCCACCAGCAGTCCTGAACGCAGCCCGAGCTTTAGGCATTCCCAGCACATTTAAAAGGGACTGCAGTGCAAAGAGAGATATAAGGTTATAGCACTAAACTGCACATAACTATAATGCATTACTCAGTCAGAGATGAGCAGTGATCCAAAACATATCACTGATTAACAACACTCAGTGAAAAACAATATAATTCAGGAGTATCTAAACTTTTCATGAATTAATGCAATGCAGCCATAGAGATGGACAGCAGGGAAACAGATCCTTCAGTCCAACTCGTCCACGCCGACCAGATTTCCTAAATAAATCTAGTCCTAATTGCCAGCATTTGGTCCCTATCCTTCCACAGCCTTCCTATTCATTTACCCGTCCAGGAGCCTTTTAAATGTTGTAACTGTACTCACCTCTACCGCTTAATTCCACACACACACCAAACTCTGCCGTGTATCAGACGTAGTTTAAAGTGATCACAGAATCTTAAACTATAGAAAGGAGACCATTTCAGCAATCAAGCCTGTCCTAGTTCCTTGAACTATCCAACAAGTCGCACTCCCCTCTCTATTCAAACATTCCTTTGCAAATCTCTTCTGAAAGTTTGTTTTGAATAAGCTTCCTCCACCTTCCACATCACAGCGGGCTGTGCAAAAATATTTCTCCCAATTCTATCTACGTTTTTTTTTTGGTCCATTGTCTTAAACTGGAGCTCTTTGGTTACTGACCCACCTGCCAGTCAAAATATCTATTACTTTGCAAGGAGACAGATTCAGTAAATGCAGTGACAAACAACGCACAAAATACATTATTGTCATTCAAATACGCACGAGAACTACAGGTTACGAGGAGGTTGGATTTAATAAAAGCAAATAGATGTAAAGCAAATGATTTTGACACCTTTCAGCAAAAGGCCATAGATAACCTTATTGTTACAGCCTTTAATACAGTTACATTTTAATCCTTGGTGACTTAATATTCCTCTGGCTTCAATCTGTAAAACACAAACTGAGTTACGCATAAGCAAATTTACCTCCCTTCTTGTAATTTGATACAGCACACAATTTTCAATGTGTCAACCTCAGAATGTGGAGGCATAATGATATTTATTTTGGGTTAGCAGCTAAATATACATTAGCAAATCAATCTGACTTTGTACGTAACACAATAAGGATCCTGAGGGGCAAAGATAATAAATTCAGTTGCTTATTATATATTATGACTGCCTCACAATTCATCAAAATTAGGTGCACTCACTAGATTTAGGCTAATAAATCAGTTTAATCATATAAATACATATTTCATATGTGTAAAATTATAATCTGCTGTTTATTTATTTGTACTGAAAATACAAACTGCAGGCCACAAATAATATCAATTTAAGTTGGATATTCATTGCAAAATTTTTAATACCCTTACTTTTCTTTGCATTTACATAGTGCCTTTCACGACTCAGGGATCTGTTTCCACCTCCATAACATTGCTCTAATTTGCCGCTGTCTGCTAGAGTTCACCTAATGCTGAAATCCTCATTCAGGTTTTCATTACCTCCAGGCTTAACCATTACAACACTCTTTGGCTGGTCTCCTAAAATCTACCCTCTGTAAACTTAAAGTTGCCTTAAACCCTGCTGCCTGTGTGCTAATTCACAACATGCCGTCTTCATCTATCAACCGTGCGCGTGCGTATTCAAGCAATTGCACCCTTATTCTCAAAGCCTTCCGTTGGCCTTGCCCCATCTCTATCTCTGCAATCTCCTCCAACCCCGCAAGTGACTGAGGAACCTTTACTCCTCCAATTTGGGCCTTGTGTGTATCCACAATCATAACTGCTTTACCACCGGTAGTCGTGCCTTCAGCTGCCTAGACCTTAAGCCCTGAAATTCTCATCCTCCACCTCTCTGCTTTGTCTTCCACTTTTATGAAGTTTCTTAAGATCTGCCTGTGGGATGAAACTTTTGAACTGAATTGAATTAAATTAGCTTCATTGTCACTTTTGGTCATTTGACATTATACTTCCTTACGTGGCCAAGTGGCCATACTTTATTTCAAAATGTGACGTCATCTGGGTGGTTTGTTATTTTAAAGATGCTATATAAATACAAGTTGTTGATGACCCAAAACACTTCACAGCCAATGAAGTATTTTGCAAAGATAGTCACTGTTGTAATGCTTAAACGTCAAACGTGATTTCAGAAGGTCGATATCCGAAGTCTTGGACAGACACTGTGTGCACTTATGATGGCCCCTGGATGAGTAACTTGTAGGCTGCACAGTTATATAATTACTATTGCTTTGTCCACTGATAACCCCAAATTGCAATGGGAGGACCAGCAAACCTTTACAGTGTCGCAAAAACCCAAATGCTCCCCTTCCTGAAACAATGGGGGGGGGGGGGGGGGGAGAAATACCATTATTAATTAACTTATGTTTCCATATTTAATGCTGCTAATTATTTCCAGCTATAATTCCACATTAAAGACTGATACAAAGGTTGGAGTTGATAAGGTAAAGGTATCCTTTAATTCGCACTCCACATGTAGTTCTAATTGCTAAACAAAGACATACTGATTGAAAGTCAATTTCCTTACAAAACTCTTAAAAACTCTTCCTACTTATCTACAGCTACCTTCTCGCTCACTGCTTCCCTCTAGCTTGCCGTGAGCAAGCGAGGGAGCTGGGTGGGGGCAGGAAGCAGTGAGGGGGAGGGTCCTCAGGGAAGTGGCAATTTGTTCAAAAGGAAAGATGGAGCATGTTTGGTAACCACATTGGAACAACAAAAAAAGAGGAGGCAATGCTATTTGGGAAACACTCCTAACTTGTAAACCGCGCTGAACTGAAAACACACCAAGTGAGAGAACACTTGTGAGAGAGCACAACAACTCTGTGCAATGTGGTATACCGCATCTGCTGTTCCCGTTGCGGCCTCCTCTACATCGGGGAAACCAAGCGGAGGCTTGGGGACCACTTTGTGGAACACCTACGCTCGGTTCGCAATAAACAACTGCACCTCCCAGTCGCGAACCGTTTCAACTCCCCCTCCCATTCCTCAGACGACATGTCCATCCTGGGCCTCCTGCAGTGCCACAATGATGCCACCCGAAGGTTGCAGGAACAGCATCTCATATTTTGCTTGGGAACCCTGCAGCCCAATGGTATCAATGTGGACTTCACAAGCTTCAAAATCTCCCCTCCCCCTACCGCATCCCAAAACCAGCCCAGCTCGTCCCCGCCTCCCTAACTTGTCCTCCCACCTATCCCCTTCTCCCACCTCAAGCCCCACCTCCATCTCCTACCTACTAGCCTCATCCTGCCCCCTTGACCTGTCCGTCCTCCCTGGACTGACCTATCCCCCCCAACTCCGCACCTACACTCACCTTTACTGGATCCACCCCCGCATCCTTGACCTGTCTGTCTCCTCTCCACCTATCTTCTCCTTTATCCATCTTCAATCCACCTCCCCCTCTCTCCCTATTTATTTCAGAACCCCCTTCCCCTCCCCCATTTCTGAAGGAGGCGTCGATATCCGAAACGTCAGCTTTCCTGCTCCTCTGATGCTGCTTGGCCTGCTGTGTTCATCCAGCTCCACACCTTGTTATCTCAGATTCTCCAGCATCTGCAGTTGCTACTATCTCTGTGCAATGACAACGGCCTTGGCAATTTGATTAGCCATGTTCTCAATGAATGGTGGAGCACACTTGATGGGCCGAATAGCCTACTTCCGCTCCTATGTCTTAGGTTGGACATGAATTGACAAAATCCTGGGTCACTTGACCTTGATACGCCTGGTGGAATCTCTCTGGATCAGGTGAAATACTTATTCTACATCCCACTCAATGGAAGGCGATTTTGGTCTAACTTACCAGCCAAGTTTGGATGCAATGTTAAGTGTTAAACCCAGCCTGATTTTAATTGGGCATGAGGTGGGATTAGCCTCCCAACTGATCCTATGAGTTTTTCACCCACAGGACAAAACTGAATCTTGGTGATGGGGGTCTCACCAGCTGTCAAGAACCCTGTGTTGCCTCCTTTGGTTAAGGCCCACCATAATAAGATCAACTGATCTTCGGCCTTCTTCAGGATCAAGGACCTCGGAGATAGAAATCCTGGCCATCCCACCCCCACTGCTTTGACAGCAACTGGCAAAAAAGAGATGGTCAATGCACAATTATGACACATCAGTGCCAAAAGCAATGATAGCCAGTATCACACCCATTGGTGGTTCAAAAGCAGCGAGGGCCATGGTTGAGCACAGGCAGGTGAGGCACGGCCGGTATCGGATTTGCTGCTCTGGGACACGGGGAAGGGAAGGTTTGAAAAAGCAGTAGGGGAGTGAAATCAGTGTTCTTCCAACCACGAACCTCAACTTTTCCTGATGCTGACTCCCTCGAACAGGCTTACAGGCCCTCTTAAGTAAATGGGACAGAGCTTTGGCCCATCAATTGTGACGACGCAAAGGGAAAAGATTTGAGCAAACTCTGAAGACAGGACACACAGTTTGTTTAGATCCAAACTCACCTCTGGAGTGGTTATTAAATTCTGCCCTAAGACTTTGGTCAAATCTTTTCCCCTTTGGGAAAACATGCTTGTTAGCAATACAACAACACCCAAAGAATCCAAAAGGCTCACTTCATCTTTCTTTATCTGAAATATTTGTGCATTCACATTGCAAAATTAATCATTCTACACCTCTACACATAAAAGATTGCCATTAAAATGCAACCTGCAACTAGGACGTGAAATGGAGTTGCCTTTATTATTACCACATTGCTGGAGAAATTCAGTGTGTTGCAAAAGTCTCTAATGCTATGCCCCTCTATGGACAGGACCAATGTCATCTACAAGATCCCCTGCAGAGACTGCGAGAAACACTACATCGGACAAACAGGAAGGAAACTAACAACAAGAGTACATGAACACCAACTGGCTACAAAAAGGCACGACCAATACTCACTCATCTCAATCCACATGGACGAGGAGAACCACGACTTCGACTGGGACAACACCAAGATCCTGGGACAGGCTAGGCAGAGACAAGCACGAGAATTCCTGGAAGCATGGCACTCCACGAAGCATGCTATTAATAAACACATTGAACTCGACCCCATATACGTTTCACTATGGAGGAAACCCGGAAGTGAGGCAATCCATCGCAATGGACCCCAGAGTTTAAAAACCAGGCGGGAAAACATACCAACGCTTCATCAGAGGCTGCACTGAGGATGTTACCAAGCACGGTAATGAAACATCTACGGAACAACAAATCAGCTCGGCAAGCCAACCAACCTCAACACCCACAACCCGAGCTACAAATCTACTCCAAAACCTTAAAGTCTCTAATGCAGGTAGAAAAGCAATGTATTTTCTCGTTCTGTTTATATGCACCCAAGCAAAGGTGACAGTTCAAAAGGAGATACCTGCAGAAGGTCGAGTTTCAGCACTAATTCTGTCTGAGTTGCTGAGCACAACACTCCAATGACTACGCGCATATACTCCTCCGCATTCATAATAAACAGCTGCTCCAAGATGCTCAGTGCATGACTTCGATAGAACTGGTCATCGAGAAAAATTTTGATGTAGGGAACCATTCCATATTCTCGGAGAATCACTAAATAGAAAGGGAAGGGTCAGTCAGGCTTGCATGGCATCTTTTGACAATGAAGGGCAAGGGGACTAATGATATGGCTGCAGTTACAATGACAAAGGTGCAGTATATAGCTATAAGCTAATCACATACATGGATATACACAACTGGCAAAAGTCATTTGCATATAGAGGGGAGATATTACCTGAGTGAAAGACCAACAGATCCCTGGATAATTCACTTCATTTCAAGAAAAGACCAAAATCAATATTTCCTGAAAGTGGTATGTAATCCCAAACTTCAACTTCCGTGGATCTCTGTCCTCAGAGACATCAATTTACATTGAACAATTTACATCCTGACATTTGAACTCTTAAGTTCTGGGTTGATACCCAACGAAATATAGCTATGAGTTGCTAGGGAACACAAAGTGAGCCACTCTCTTGGTTGATACAAATACAGTTAAGCTCATGGAAAGAAGTAGTGAGGAGAATACAGTTATTCAAAATAACATGGGTTGGCATGATCGCGCAAATTGGCAATATAAGTATGCATTCGGCCCTTCAAGTCTCCCCTGCCATTCAATAAAATCGTGGTTGATCTGTTTAGTTCTTCAAATTCCACATTGCCATCTACTCCCATTCTTTATTCCCTTGCCAAACAAAAAGCTATCTACTGCCATCTTAAAAAATATTCAATGACTCACTTCCATCACCTTCTGAGGCAGGCAAAGAGTTTCAAAGATGCACAACTCTCAGAGAAAAAAAGACTTCTCCCTCATCTGTCCATAAGCAACTATAAGTTTAAAAGTGTCCTCTAGTTTTGGACTGACCTACCTTATCAAGACCACTCATAATCTTTTGGGTATTTTCAATAGGCTTTAATCAACCTGCTCAGAAATATTATGATACACCTCTGGAGCAGGTGGGACTTGAACCCTGGGGAGGGGCTTTCTTGCTCAGAAGTAGGGATATCACCATTGTGCACAAAAGCTCCCCACCCCGCCTTTCAGAATCTCACATACTTCAAGTCACCCCTTAGTCTTCCAAACTATACTGAAAATAAGCCCAGTCTGTTTAACATTTCCTCAATAGACAACCCATCCACTCCAGCTATCAGTCTAGTAAAACTCCTCCAAAAAGCTTCCATCACATTTAAAGTTGCTAAAACTGCACACAACATTCAAAATGTGGGCTCACCAGTGCCGTGTATAACTTAGGCATAATGTTCTTACTTTAATGTTTAGATCCTCTCATACTAAAAGATAGCATCCAATTAGCTTTCCTAATCACTTGTCTTTCCTGTATATTGACTCTGTGACTCATGCACTAAAATGCCTAAGTCACTCTATGACTGCAGAATTCTGCAGTCATTCTCCATTGAAATAATTCTATCTTTTATTCTTCCTGCTAGAGTGAACAATTTCTCATTTTCACGTTGTACTCCATCTGCCAGAGTTTTGCCCACTCACTTACATAAATTTGCAACCTCGTACATCCTCTTCACAACATAATTCCCCAACTATTCTTGCGTCATTTGAAGACTTAGCTATGATGCCTTCACTCCCCTCATCTAAATCATTGATACAACTTGTTAAAAGTTGAGGCCACATTACAGCCCCCTGTAGAATCCTATGTATCACATCTTTCCAATCAGAAAAGTACCCATTTATACATTGTCTGTTTTCTACCAGTCAGCCAATCTTCTATCCAGAAACAGAAACAGAAATTGCTGGAAAAGCTTAGCAGGTGTTGTACCTCATTTTCCGCTTGGGAACTCTGCAGCCTTCTGAAATCAATATAGAGTTCAACAACTTTAGGGCTTGAGCTTTTCCCATGTCCTCACCCCAACTCCCACACACCAGGCCTTGTTATCACACAACCCATTGTTAGTCCCTAAATAGTCTCCACGAATAGCTATTGATTCTCCTAGCCTGGCCATTACCAATCCTTTGCCCAACTGTTCTTCTCTCTTTGGGCTCTATCTCCACCTATCACTTACTCCTTACCCCCTTCCCCCACCCTTCATTCTGCATAAAAACCAACATTTTCCCAGCTACCATCAGTTCTAAGGAAGGGTCACTGGATCTGAAACGTTAACTCTGATTTCTCCCCACAGATGCTACCAGACCTGCCGAGCTTTCGCCAGCAATTTCTGTTTGTGTTTCTGCTTTCCAACATCCACAGTTCTTTCAGTTTTTAATCTTCTATCTAGGCTAATTTGTCACCCCTTACATCATATGTTTCTACTTTGCAGAGTAATCTTTTGTTGCAAGCTGCCTTCTGGAAATCCGAGTACAGCATATCAATGGGCTCTCCCTTATCCACAATGCACGCTGCCTATTCAATGGACTCCAACAAGTTGATTAACACAATTTCCCTTTCACAAAACCATGCTGACTGTTTTCGATTACCTTGGGTTTTATCCCCCAGTGCCCAGCCACGAACTCCTTAACAATTGATTTTAACACCTTTCTCAAAACAGACATCAGGTTAACTGGCCTATAGCTTCCTGCCTTGATGTCTCCCTCCCTTCTTGAATAGAGGAATTATATTTGCTATTTTCCAGTTGAGCGGAACTTACCCAGAATTTCGCGAATTTCAGAAAATTAACACCAACATCTATTACCTTATTAGCCATTTCTTAAGACCCAAAGATGAAGTCCACTAGAATTTGTCAGCCGCCAGCTTCTCAGTTTGCTCAGTACCAGTTCCCTGGTGACTATAATTTCACCAAGTTTTCCTCTTCCTTCCACCTTCTAATTCACGGCTATTAGATCTATGCTCTTTACGAAAACGGAAGCAAAATATTTGTTTGTTTCATCTGATATTTCCTTATCTGCTTTAATTCTCCATTCTCATGCTGTTGGGAACCAACACTCACTTTATTTGCTCTTTTCCTTATTAAATTCCCACAAAAACTCTTGCCATCCATTCTGATGAAATCAAAACAGGTTTTTGATGGCAAATGAGTTAGCAGTGAGACATTGTAGATTTCAAATAGTTGGTAAAAAGGTGATAGAGAAAATTAGGAGAAATTTCTGCAGCTAGAGTTGTTAAGATCTGAAACATGTAACTCGACAGGACAGAAGAAGCAGGTTAAATAGGAACTTTTGATAGACAATGAAACATGTACTTGAAGAGCATTCGTTTGTTGGGCTCTGGGTAAAAAGTTGGGATAGAGGAGTAAAGCAGCATTTACATGGCACCTTTAAAGCACCCTAAGATGTTTCAGAGAAGTAATTCACAAATAGGGTTCGACACCATACAACAAAAGAAGATGGAGACAGGCAAGGTTCATAAAGGTAGGTTTTGAAAGGAACCCTTTAAGGGAGGCGAGAGAGATAAAGATTAGAGGAGGGGCAGCAATGGCATGGCAGTAATGTTATTGTTGTAGTGTTCCAGAAGTCCAAGGGAAAATGTTCTGGGAAACATGGGTTTGAAACCCATCATGGCAGATAATGAAATTTTTGTTCAATAAAAGTTTGAAATTAGAAGCTCAACAAATGGTGCCCATGTCACCATTGTTGATTGTTGTGCGCGTATGTATATGAAAGATTACATCTGGTTCAATAATCTCCTTTAGGGATTGAAATCTAACATCCTTACCCAGTCTGTCCTACATGTGACTCCAGACCCACAGAAATATGGTTAACTCTTAGCTGCCCTAGGGATGGGCAGTAAATGTTGGCCCAACCATCAGTACACACATCCCATGAAAGAATAAAACAAAAGTCAGGAGTGTGATGGAATACTGGCTAATTGCCCAGATGGGTACAGCTCTAACAACACTCAAGAAGCTCAATATTGTCTAGGAGAAAGGAGCCTGCTTGATTGGCACCCCATCCACCAACTTCAACATTCACTCCCTTCAATGTACACGGAAGCAGTGTGTACCATCTACAAGATGCACTACAGTAACTCATCCAGGGTCATTCAACTGCACCTTCTAAACTATGATCTCTACCACCTACAAGGGCAAGAGCAGCAGATATTTGGAATCACCACCACTTTCCACTTCTCCTCCAAACCACTAAGCATCCTGGCTTGGAGAAATATTGCCATTCCTTCATTCGTACTGGGTCAATCCTGGAACTCTCTTTCCAATGGCAATGTGGGTGTCCCTACACCACATGGACTGCTGCACTCCGAGGGAGTAGTTAACCACCACTTTCTCAAAGGCTATTAGGGATAAGCAAGGATGTTGGCCCAGCCAGTGACACCCACATCCAATGAATGAATAGTTAATAAAAAAAGTGCTGGATGATAAAATCAGTGGAGAGCACTCTACAGGAAGGGTTGGTATTCCAATAAGGATCACTGACATGAACAATGTCAAGTTAACTCACCAATGTTTTTCACAGAGCCTTGAAGCATAACGGCCAAAACTTTTAACATCAGGCATGAGGCTTCTCTCTGGTGCTGCTGCTCACTGGAAGGTGCCTTGTTCCCTGCAGGAAATACAAAGGTGAATAAAATGACCAAATCCAAAGCTAACCCTTGAGCATTTATTGGAAGTTAACAAAATTGTTATGATCTTGATTCATCCCAGTAATAGGTTTGCCAGTTTTGGTTGCTTGTTTTCCTGGTGTTGTCCTGACTTCTTAACCAACCCACATATGCCTGCCATTAGATCCTTAACACTGCCTTCCCAGTCGCCAAAAGTCAATATTCCCAATCATAGGTACCTTTATAACTAATAAATGAAAACATTCAAAAGCAAATTTATGATGAGAGGTTTATTAATATCACTTTCAGAAGCTGTATTTAAAATAGAGACAGGTGAGCGTTGGTTACATCCGTGAAGGGTTTGTAATTGTTTATTTTTTGAAAAAAAAGAAAACCCTTCCAAAACAGTGATCTAAATTGAAAATTTTGTCAAGGCAGAATCTGTAGGTCTCTGCAGAGTTAATAGAAATATATTTTATCTACTGTGTTTATGAAGGTAGGGTAAACATGCAAGGCCATTAGCTTTGTTTTCAATTCAGAAGAATCTAGGTTTGAACAGGTTTTCATTTAGCTCTAAAGACACTAGTGCAGAGTTAGGAGAGAAACTAAACTTCCTTCGAGAAAGGAGATTATTTGGGGCAACTCGAGAACAAGTTACCTCAGTTGAAGGGGTTTAGTTTGTGAAATTTCTAACAAGGAGTAGGACAGTTTAGTTCGAAATCTGTAGGTTATTAGAACTGATAAACAAACATATCGATCATAAGCCGATTCAGCCCCTTGAGTAAATTTTGGGTCCCCAATTTTGTGAAAAAGTTCATGTCAGCAGATTTGGAAAGAATTCAGTGAATGATCTCCATAGTCCATGGCAAAAACGCTGTCAGGGATCAGTTAAGTAGATTTAAGAGTTGAGATACGGATGTAAACTCTCTGGACCAGAAAGTGGATTAAAACTTTGATTTGCCATGTCTTTTAAATCTTGCTAACTGTCCTCTATATTTAGATAACTATTTTAAATTTTTCTTTTGTGCAATAAACGTACATTCTGTTTAAGAAATATCTGCACCCTCCCATGACTATCCGCCACTGTGATTAACTAAAACAAAAGTCTGATCAATCAAGCCAGATTTCATCCATTAGTACCATCAGCTGGGATCATAAAAAAAGAAAAGCTTGTTTTTCAATAGCCTTAAAAATTTTCTCGCTGGTTGTTCACAGCTCTGCCTGGAGATCATTCTAGAATTCTTGAACAGTTCTGAAAGGTTACCAACTCCAATCAACCAATTTTCTGATTCCTCTGATAGAAACTGTCACGGTAAAGTCAGCAAGACTGATATCCTTTAATGGATCATTGGAAGGGAATGCAGGACAGAGATAGTATTTATAGTCCTATCATCCAGATTTTCCAACATTCATTCTCAATGGTTTGCACTCACTAAGTTAGCTCTTGGACTAGTAATACTCATGGGATCAGAGCAGGTCAAAGTAATCCCATCCTTTTACTGCAACCAGTTAATAATTCAAAGCAAATCAAGAGGAGAAATTAATGTTTATAACTGAGCTCAGACTCCACTCAGTGTTTTAGTTTGCAAATTAATAAGGTAGAAAATCTAGCCTCATGGATGTGTTCTTTCTGTTGGTTATTACTGTAATGCAAGCAATCCAATGCAGATTGATTTTCTAAATCGCTATCTCCGAAAACCGACGTTCGAACATCCAAGAGGTGGTTCCAGTAAGTTGTTACCTGCTTTCCTCAGCATTTTTCCATATCTCTGAAGCTGCGTCAGGAGCATTTCCAGGAGCCTCGTCTCTCTGAACACGACAGTGAGCAATGGGTCATGTTTGGCAATGTCCAGCACACACTCGAGTGCCAACAGGGCGCAGGCAGGAGAAAGGTTCTCTCGGATTATGGCCTGCACTCTCGAAAAGACTTCATGGGGAATGTAAGACATATCGATAACAACACACCGCAGCATCTGAAAATACTGCATCTGCACCGGCCGTGACTTATGGTATATCACCTCAGCGAACTGAAAGAGTGTCTGCTGTGTCCATTCCAACAGGAAGAAATTGGCTCTGTCCCAACTCCAGATCTTTTTAATGCTGTTCAGGATCATTGATGAGATGCAGGAACTGGTGGCTTTTAGAAATATGAATTGCAAGACTTTGAAAGCCTGGAGGTTTTTCACAGTTGTATCTTAATATTGAAACAAAGAAGACATAAGTCACTTGCAGCAAAGTGACAGACAAAAAAGCAATAGTTATCTAAAAATTAATGTGTTGCAAAAATATATATTTTTTTTAAAAAATCTAGACCTAAAATTAGAGCAACCTATCCCAAATGATATAGCAACATTAAGTATTCCAGACCCACTCCCCCTTCAATGTATTCTATTCTCACAAGAGAGATAGACACAAGTAAAACACAGTTGAGTTTTACTTAAGAGTGCATGTTTACAGAAGATAATGCTGAACCCTACGTTATGCCTTATTATTTTAGTCAACCACTCAAATGAACTCTGATCCCCTCTTTCCAATGCAAAGGAGGCAATAGACAGTCCCAGCCTCCAAATACTACAGCAAGAAACAATATATAATGGAATTGTCATGTTCAACATGGAAGTGCGTTGGTTACTAAAATAGGGATGTGGCATCACTTCATGAGCAAGGATCAAAGAGATGTGACAGGAAAGGGACGCAGATCACAAGATATACAATAGCCAGGATTAAAAAAAAACTCTTGTAATGTAAAAGTCAGAAGATCTTACTTCTTGTCACTGAGGCATTGCAAGTTGGATATTTTCAAACGCAAATGATAAAAAGAACTAAAGGCAGCGAATGTGGCCTGGGATATGTAATGTAAAGAGTTGATTGTGAATATGGAAATTAAATAATCTAATATAATAAACAATACAAAAATCATTATCATTAGATGGTTGTCTCTTGCAACTTCATTTGAATTCTTGTCCTGCACGTAGCTAGCATTGACCACACTTAATTAAAAGATGCAGAGCTGGATGAACACAGTAGGCCAAGCAGCATCATCGGAGCAGAAAGGCTCACGGTTCGGGCCTAGACCCTTCATC